AACCCAGAGCACCTCCAAGAAACAGACCAGCAGGGTGACAACAAGAGCTCCAGTAACGATTATAAGCTCCTCAAAGGAGTATGTTTCTCTCCTTGTTAATCCCTAGAGCCTGGCAGTCTGTTTGGGGTCCCCCCAACCCCCACCCCGGCCCTCCCCCTCCGCGGGGTGTGTAATGCCATTTCCAGAGGTGAGGAGGCGGCTCGCTGTTTCCCGAATCACCTGTTTGCCCTGGTATATCGACGCGTCCTTGGCTACATCTATGAATCAGGTGGTCCAGGGCCAGGTTGGTGAATCGAGGCGGCTGCTAAGACATCACCGTGTTCCTGTCCCTGGTGCGCCTTCTGTTGCTTCCTCTGTACCTCTCACGAAAGTGGTGATCCATCCCGATCACAAACCACCATCCCTCCCTGGGGTCCCACTGCCTTTCCCTGAGATGTGGGTCAGGATGCAGGACTGCCTGGGATTCATAGAAGTCTGTGCTCGCCCGGATTCCCCTCCTCCTCTCTCCCTGGGTGAGCCCAGCTTTCTTACCACTCCCCACCCCTAACCCCCTTTTCCATCTTGATATTTACCTCTGAGGCATCTAGAAAAATCTCCTAATGGATTTAGGTTGATGGAAACCATTGTCCATATATAGGCCACAGTTTCTGTATCCACTCATTGGTTGATGGACATTTAGGTTGTTTCCGTGTCTCGGTTATTGTGTTAATGCTGTAATTAGTACAGGAGCACAGATATCTTTGCGGTACTAATTTCACTTCCTTTGGGTGTATACCCAGAAAAGGGATTGCTGGATGATATGGCAGTTCTATTTTCAATTTTTTGAGGAAGCTCCATTCTGTTTTCCATAATGGCAGTACCAATTTCCATTACCACCAACAGTGTGGGGTTCCCTTTTCTCCACATCCTTGTCACTCATTTTTTTCCTTTTCTTTTCTTTTTTTGAATGACAGCCATTTTAACAGGTGTGAAGTGGTTTCTCGTTGTGGTTTTGATTTGCATTTCCCTGATGGTTAGTGATGCTGAACATCTTTTCATATACTCATTGGCCATTTGTATGTCTTCTTTGGAAAAATGTTCAAGACCTTTGCCCATTTTTAAATTTGTTTGTTTGCTGTTGAATTGTATGAGTCCCTTATATTTTTTGGATATTCACCTATTACCAGATACACGGTTTGCAAATATTTCCTCCCAGTCTGTAGGTTCATTTCGTGGATGGTTTCCTTTGCTGTGCAGAAGCCTTTTAGTTTGATGTAGTCCCACTTGCTTATTTTTGCTTTTGTTGCCCTGAGCTTGGGTGTCAAATCCAAAAATTATTGGTAAGAGCAGTAGCAAGGAGCTTTTCCTCGGTTTTTTTCTAGGAGTTTTACAAGTTTCAGGTCTTATTGTTGAAGTCTTTAACCTGTTTTGAGTTGATTTTTGTGTATGGAGTAAAATAAGGCGCCAGCCACATTCTTTTGCATGTGGACATCCAGTTTTCTCAGCACCGCTTATTGAAGAGACTGATACGGCAGTGAACAAAACAAGGTCTCCACTTTAATGGTGGCTGAGGGAGAAAACAGGGAATAAACAAGCTCTGGTTACTACCTCTGGGGATGTTGTCTGCAGGACATCGCCCCCGCTACCATCACAAATGCCCATGAGTGGGGAGTTGGGACAAAGGAGCCAGACAGTGCGCGCAGACCTGGGCGCCTCCAGTAAAGCCTCCCCGACTGGGCTGTTTATCCTCCAGGCACTGTGGGCACAAGCTGTGAGCTTTTCAAGAGCCTACAACAATGTCTGAAGCCTGGAAATGATTATTGGTTCTAGAATACAGAGAGGAAACCACAAAATAAAGAATAAATGTTTAATTAAATGCATACAAACATAATAGTCCAACTTCATGAATTGTTAATTTTAGCATTCACTCAGAATTTCACACATTTGAAAGTAATCTGTGGATCTGATTTTCCCATTTCTCGAGACTTTCCAATTATGCACAGATTTGGGGGGGAAAAATCAAAGCAAATTGCAAGTTAAATGAGTTGTTCATAGACAAAAATTTCAAAAGTATATTTACCAAAACTCTCTAACTTTTTCCCCCTCAAATTATATTTAGTGCAAATTATATTTAGTGTTGATGGAAGTGCATTTTAATCTGTTTCCTACAGCAGGGTTTAGGGCTTAGCGGCTTTCCCTGGAGCTTCGCGTTTTCTCCAGATGGCCCCAGTGTGTTGTCACCAGTAGGACTCACTGAACCCAGCCATCTTTTCATGGAATGGCGCTGTTAGTCCATTTTGGCAGTCTGCTGAGGCTGAGGACGACCGGCCTCTTCAGAGGCAGTTTCAAGGGCCTCTTGCAGGGAAAGGATGAGGCAGAATCCTGGTTGTATTCATCTCAATGACTAGTCAGGGTCAGCTCTGATCTTGGAGCCTGTCCCCAAACCTCAGCCTGCTCTGTGGCTTGTCCCTGAATGGTAAGTGGCTCCCTGCTGTGTTTTGAAGCCTGATTTCCCAATGCTGGTGTTTCTGGGAACTCCCACTGGTCCAAACCAATAGCTCTGCTGGGCAGCAGCTGAAAGCAGCCCTTTCCTTCTGACCTTGATGTTTTCAGAGCGTGGCTCTCTCCATCAGGACGCTGGCTGATGCTCAGTCCATCTACGGGAGCGCCTGCCAGTCACCATGCCATCACCTAGGAGAGACGTCATGAGCAGGAAGAAGCGTCTCACGCTCTGATCCAAGTTATTCCATCTATTTTTATTATTCTCCTCCCCTGGGACTCCTTCAGCACTGACGCTTTTTTTTTTTAAACCTCAAACAAGTATTTCAATATTTGTCATACTTCCATTTTCAAACATGAAACCCGATCTCTTTAAAGATGAAATATTGTCCTTGAATCCATATATATATATATCTGCAGTAAAAGTACAAAGAACTGCTGAGAATGATACACAGCAAATTTGGATAATGGCTCTTACCTCCTGGTGGCAGTGGAGAGAGGGTTACTATGTACTGGTAATGAGTAATATTTTAGATCAGACACTGAGGACACAAGTGTTCATTATATTATTCTGTGCACTATTGGCAAGTCGGAAATATTTAATAATAAATTAGAAGCAAAATATTGCATCTGCTCCCACGGTGGGTTAATCGTATTTGTCATTCTCAATACCTGCTAATCCTCTTCCAAACCTCATTCTAATCAGTGGTTTCCCCTTTCTCTTGTGAACCTCTGCCAACATCCCCCCTTCTCCTCGTTCCCTGAAACCCGACTGACATTCCACCCTCTAACTCGACATTCATTTTGGTTAATAACTCTCTCTTGTTGGGTGTTCCCCCATTTATGTCTCTTTATCCCCTTGGAAACCGTGTAACCTTAAAATATCTCAGTGTTTCTTACCTGCCGCCTCTTCATGCACTGCATGGAATCACAGAATTTTAGAGCTAGAACAACCTGAGATCATCCGTTCCAAACTTTTCATTATAGAGAAGGAAAGAATGGAGACCTAGAGATTAAACTTCATCTTTAGCAGGGAGGGTAGAGCTCAGTGGTAGAGAGTGTGCTTAGCATGCATGAGGTCCTGGGTTCAATCCCCAGCACCTCCATGGAAATAATTAATTAAACAAACCTAATTACCTCCCCCAGCCCCAAAACAAACAAAAAGTAAAAAATTAAAAAAAAAAACTTCATCTTCAGCAGGAGCAAAACCAGGACACCAAATGAGGCTGACCTCAGGTTTCCCACAAGACTGCAAACCAGGAGAGGCTCTTCGCTGCAGAGGGGAAAGAGAGGTTGATGGATACCTGAACCGAACCCAAACACTAAGAAGAAAACCAGAAAGTTGTTGACTCTCTCTCTCCTTCTGCCTCTCTAATGGTTGTCTGCAGCAGAAGACGGCCAGATACAAAAAAACAGGGCTCAGACCAGGCCATTTCTCTCCTTCACATTGCTCTGGGAAGATCATTGCACAGCCTATTTCTACTGTTTGGCAAGAAAACAGCATTAGCCCGGTGCCAATGTAATGCCAGCTCAGAGCAGAGAGGTGGGAAGG